GGCCCAAACAGGGGAGAAGATGACCCAGATCATGTTCGAGACCTTCAACACCCCGGCCATGTACGTGGCCATCCAGGCCGTCTTGTCTCTCTACGCCTCCGGCCGCACCACTGGTATCGTGCTGGACACCGGCGACGGAGTCACCCACAACGTGCCCATCTATGAAGGCTACGCCCTGCCGCACGCCATCCTGCGTCTGGACCTGGCCGGCCGGGACCTGACAGACTACCTGATGAAGATCCTGACCGAGCGCGGATACTCCTTCGTCACAACGGGTAAGCTGGCATCCTTCTTTCTATAAAACATGGTGAAGTTTTACGCCATATTGATTGCTGGGTCTTACAATGAATACACAAATCTGAATTTTAAAGTAAGCCTCCTCTTATCAGGCTAAACTGTATCAGAAAAACCCTCGTGTTTGTAAGAAGACTGACGAATTCTTGGCTTGTCTGTCCTCAGCCGAGAGAGAAATCGTCCGTGACGTGAAGGAGAAGCTGTGCTACATCGCCCTGGACTTCGAGCAGGAGATGGCCACCGCCGCCGCCACCTCCAGCCTGGAGAAGAGCTACGAGCTGCCGGACGGACAGGTCATCACCGTCGGCAACGAGAGGTTCCGCTGCCCCGAGACCCTGTTCCAGCCTTCCTTCATCGGGATGGAGTCTGCCGGCATCCACGAGGGCACCTACAACAGCATCATGAAGTGCGACATCGACATCCGTAAGGACCTGTACGCCAACAACGTGCTGTCCGGCGGCTCCAGCATGTACCCCGGCCTGGCCGACCGTCTGCAGAAGGAAGTCACCGCCCTGGCCCCCAGCACCATGAAGATCAAGATCGTCGCTCCTCCCGAGAGGAAGTACTCCGTCTGGATCGGCGGCTCCATCCTGGCCTCCCTGTCCACCTTCCAGCAGATGTGGATCGCCAAGCAGGAGTACGACGAGTCCGGCCCCGCCATTGTCCACCGCAAGTGCTTCTAAACATGCCCCTGTCCTTTAAATTTGTAAGAACTTGTACCAGATTTTCGCCACCCCTGTTCGAACGCAACGCAGCTCTTGTAGAGGGATGTTTTCCTGAAGTTACAAGTGAAGGAGTCAGAGAGTGAACTGTATGTTTTGTTTGTCTGATACATGTATAGGTTCTATTGTTTATACAAGAAAGACAGTTATTGACAGGAAGTCAGATGAGTCTGCAAAACGAAAATGTTGTCCAATTTTACGATCACTGGATCCTGATTTATACTAAAGGGGACAATCTTGTCAACGGAAGAGATGGAGTAAGGCAACAGGAATGAATACCATGTTTGTGATAAGAAGACGAGGCAATTCGGCCCATGCACCCCTTAATTTATGTCCTGAATGTTTGTTGTTTATGTTTTTCAACTGACAGCTGAATATTAAAGTATGTGTCATCTAATAAGTTATATTGTTGTGATCAGTCTTTGGTTAGTTGTCAACTATTCCTACAGCTTTCAGCAACAGTTACATAATCCTTTCTATGTTAGGTGACTGTTTAACCGAAGATGTTACAGTTGATGACATAAGGTCCTGTTTGATGAGTATGCGTCCACACACGGCACACAATTCATACAAGACAAACCATGCATGAGGATCAGCAAAACAAATGGAGGATGTCAAGCAAGGAGTACAGCCCAATACAAGGCGAGGAATGATACATATAGTAAACACCTATATATCGATCGTAGAAAAATTGACCGCGAAATCGACCAAAACCAGGGCCTCATATTAAAACCCTAGTCCGGCGGCGCCTAACAATTGTTGGGTTGCACATACAGTTACCGTAACATCTATATAGCACCCTGTATACGTACGATTTGGGGGTACTTCTTGTGCAACGCATCACACCGCATCGAAACGCAACGAATGCGGAAGTAACTACGCCAACGCAGGGGAAAAAAGAGTCAGGGGTCCATGACCTGATTAGGACATGAAGTTACTGAAAATATTGTGTAAAATGCCAGCAGGACAAGGTTTAACATTATATTGACGTTGACTCTGTTGAATGCCAACAGACACCGGGAGGAAACAAATAAATTGTGGTGATGTATAGTTGTTTTAAAATCACGTCACTACCTGGGCCACACCCGGAACGCCCAGGAACAGCATGGACTTGAAAGCCAACCACCTGTTTCTGTATTAAAAACCATGGGGCACACAAGCCTTGTACTATCGTGGAAAAGTGTTGGCTTGGCGGAAAAAAACGTCATAAATTTCTTATGGATACTTCTAGTAGAGACAATGTGTCGCGGCGTTACTGAACAGGTAGCAACTGCGCTTAGAACTCATTTCTGGACCGTGAGAGAGCATGTGCCATACTAGCGTCGTCCAGACGGTTACATTTCAAAGCTGGGCCCGGCCGGGTTGTTTCGATTAACGAAAAATCAACAATTTATATCAATAATATACACAAACAGTTCACATTTTTATTTTTTTTAATACTTTTGTGCTTTATTGTCTTTTATATCATACCTTTTTGTTCCATAAGGTGGGGGCCCGGTTTGGAAATGTGACCTCAGCATAAGAAAATCTACAGTAGAAGTCATTACAAGTCAGAGCGAATGGTAAAACTCAGACTGCTCATGAAGTACGAAATTACAAACAATGCGTTAGACATAGCAACCAATAAGTACCATGAGCAAGCCCAGAAAAGGAGAGGGAACGCTCACCAGAACAAGGCCCAGTGTTTTCAACCCATTGCAAGAATGCATTTTACCCGCAACTATTGTAGAGTGGAGTTCGTCAACATACGGACACCAGGGACCACTAGAAGCGTGATGCTTGTAAAAACATACATGGTTAAGGTATCACAAATCCTTTTGTATAGCAAGCAGATACTATGTGTCTAGGCGCCTAGAAAGCCGATGTGTTGCGCCAAATTGCAGTTCTAGCGGGCACTAAATAGACAATCGTAATCTCTCTCTCTCCTCAACTGTATTCTGCCTCTGCACTCATCAACTGTCCCGCAGCTGCATTCAGTCTTTCTTCATCTTCTTACACTCTGTGTTATGTCTGACAAATGTATTTTACAGGATTAAGTCACAGTAGCAACATATAACCTTTTCTAGTATTTATCGAGTTTCTTGTTAAACTTTATCTCAATATTAGAGTCCTCTATGTTATTCCATCTTAATACATGTACATACTGTTAGTCCAATCACATTATGTATGCCCAGTCAGAAACCTCCATTGTCTTGTCGTTGGGGTAGCAACGAGCTGCTTGAAGCTCAGTACTAAACTGTGAAGAGTTGAAAGAGAAAGAAAGAGTAAGTGGTATGTTAGGCACGATTGCAGTCCACCCAAGGATAAAGTACAAACATTCCACTTCCCACCCAGCAGCAAGAATTTACACACTAGACAGTCTGCTGTAGGGTGTAAGAACCAAACCAGGAGACAATGGTAAATAATGTCTAAATACGGGCGCTACTTCTACGAAAGCGTTTCTAAAAAACTTCAGTCTTCGGTGTATATATACCGGACCAGACCGTCCTGTTCTTCACTGCGGTCCAAGATTTGCCAGGTTCTTCTCCCAGTTCCAGTGGTTCTACCAGATTAACTCTCCATCATGTGCGAAGAGGAGGTTGCTGCTCTCGTCGTCGACAATGGCTCCGGCATGTGCAAGGCCGGCTTTGCGGGCGACGACGCGCCCAGGGCCGTCTTCCCGTCCATCGTGGGCCGCCCCAGGTACCAGGGCGTCATGGTCGGCATGGGACAGAAGGACGCCTATGTCGGTGACGAGGCGCAGAGCAAGAGAGGCATCCTGACCACCAAGTATCCCATCGAGCACGGCATCGTCACCAACTGGGACGACATGGAGAAGATCTGGCACCACACCTTCTACAACGAGCTGCGTGTGGCCCCCGAAGAGCACCCCGTGCTGCTGTCCGAGGCTCCCCTCAACCCCAAGGCCAACAGGGAGAAGATGACCCAGATCATGTTCGAGACCTTCAACACCCCGGCCATGTACGTGGCCATCCAGGCCGTCTTGTCTCTCTACGCCTCCGGCCGCACCACCGGTATCGTGCTGGACACCGGCGATGGAGTCACCCACAACGTGCCCATCTATGAAGGCTACGCCCTGCCGCACGCCATCCTGCGTCTGGACCTGGCCGGCCGGGACCTGACAGACTACCTGATGAAGATCCTGACCGAGCGCGGATACTCCTTTGTCACAACGGGTAAGCAGCCATCCTTCTTTTTATAAAACATGGTGAAGTTTAACGCCATTTTAATAACTGGGTCTTACAATTGTAAAATGGCAAATTCTAATTAAGGGTAGGTCTCCTCCTACAAGGCTAAAGTGTATCAGAAAAAAACAGAACCCTCGTGTTGTTAAGAAGACTGGCGAATTCTTGGCTTGTCTGTCCTCAGCCGAGAGAGAAATCGTCCGTGACGTGAAGGAGAAGCTTTGCTACATCGCCCTGGACTTCGAGCAGGAGATGGCCACCGCCGCCGCCACCTCCAGCCTGGAGAAGAGCTACGAGCTGCCGGACGGACAGGTCATCACCGTCGGCAACGAGAGGTTCCGCTGCCCCGAGACCCTGTTCCAGCCTTCCTTCATCGGCATGGAGTCTGCCGGCATCCACGAGGGCACCTACAACAGCATCATGAAGTGCGACATCGACATCCGTAAGGACCTGTACGCCAACAACGTGCTGTCCGGCGGCTCCAGCATGTACCCCGGCCTGGCCGACCGTCTGCAGAAGGAAGTCACCGCCCTGGCCCCCAGCACCATGAAGATCAAGATCGTCGCTCCTCCCGAGAGGAAGTACTCCGTGTGGATCGGCGGCTCCATCCTGGCCTCCCTGTCCACCTTCCAGCAGATGTGGATCGCCAAGCAGGAGTACGACGAGTCCGGCCCCGCCATTGTCCACCGCAAGTGCTTCTAAATATTTCCCTATCTTTTTAAGAACTATTTGTACCAAATTGTAGCTATCTCTGTTCAAAAGCAATTTATCAGTGTCATTCTGCCTCAAGGCGACTTCTCTAAGCAACCCTCTTTGACCCCGTAACAAAAGAAACCAGAGTGACAATGGGTTTTGTCTGACCACCACGGAAGGAAAAAAGGCAGTTAGTAATGTTTATGATGTATGGAGATATTTAAGAAAGGTCTTTTAGAAGGAATTATAAGCAAGTACTGGAATGAGTGAGATTGGCTGTCGAATTAAATGTGAAGTATCCTGCCTTCCTTTGTTATAGTAAAGGAAGGTAGTTCGACCAAAGACAAAATTATTGTTGTCGCTCTTTAGTTTTCAAACGCTCGAGCACATCCCCCAACCTTACCTACAACAACTGTTTGTCAGGAGTATATAACACTGTACTTATAACACAACCTACGAGTATCTGTAGCAAATGTTTGGGGAACAGCCGCCTTCATCACGGGTACCGGTGATGCAGTCGGCTTACACTTTGCCGCAAGGCGGCGTTACGGCAATGTGTGTTCCCAAGAGTTGACTAGGTAAACATGCTTAGGTCGTGTTGTATGTGTCTGTTCACGGTGTTTAATAAATTGTTGGTCATGTTATAAGCCGTACGGTTTTTGTCTATTATTGTCTACCTATGAACTGTTAGTAATTATTTCGAATCTGGAACATAAGCTTCATATACAGAGTGGCATCAGCGTAATATTCAGTCTTCACTCTGTATTGGATATTTCGACTGCTTCTTGAATGACACTTATCTGCAATGAAGTAGGATCGATTTATCTTACTAGTACTTTGTAAAGAAATGATAGACAAGAGTTCAACGACCTCATACCTTTTCCAAATGATGTTAACCCTTCCGGTTGACGAATTATACGATTCTAATAATTGATTTCGCAAATAAGTGCCTTATTTGCATGGATTTCAACAGTTGATCATATTCTCCACCCAAAATCCCATTTCTAGGTTTCATCAAGACCTACGTACCTACCAAGTATCATGACAATGCATATTAAGCTTCTTGAGTTATGCTGTGCACAGACAGACAAACAAACAAACAAACAGACAAACAAACAAACGGACAGATGGACAAACGCTACTGAAAGCATAAAAAAATTTGGCGAAGGCAAAAAGCCTTTTTGTATCGTTCTTAATGTTATAAAACGCAACTTTAAATCAATATTCTTGACTCAACGTTCCATGGAAACAATATTATTGGGTCACGTGTCCGTTACATATGAATATATAAAGTGATTATTTAGATGCTTAACGGCCTCGACCTCCACCAGCCTCACCTTTTCCGTTCCACCTGTCCCAGTCACTGCGCGTGTGCGATGTCAGCATCACTGCGAGCGATGTCAGCATCACATAACCCCCATGTATTATGTTGTCCATGTGTGCCCAGGGCACCACTGCAAACCAGCGTGCTCGACTCGGAACCAAGAGGTCCCGGGTTCGAGTCCTGACATGCCACCGATCTTGTGACCTTGGAAAAGGCACTTTACACCACTTTCTCCACTGAACTCAAGTGAAAATTAGTATTGTCTGTCCAGTATTCGTTTCTGTGTTTGGGACACAACACCAGCAACAGCTGCCTGTGCCCCATGTGTTGCAATAAATCAAATCAAATCAAATTATTACTAGATATGCTGATGAATAGTGTCTATTTGGACAGTGTGCCAGTCACAATGATGTTATATTAGTGGGAAAGAGTGTAAAAACGTACTTCCAGCTGGATTATTATAACATTCAAGAACACATTCAGTTTGTGACATGACCACACAAAAAACAGCAGAATGTGGGGCCAGTGCGTTTATTGTTAACGTAATACTATGTATACGTATACTTATTTGATAGAGTACTTATTTGTACATAACACATTCATATATGAATTTTCCTTATGTCACTCCTTTTTGTGCTAACATATGTATGACAATTATTACATTATAGCACAACATACAGTTAAGGCTTCTATTAGTATTGCATGATTTCTGCATTTTTTTGCATTGATAGTACAGGCAAAACCATTATGTAAAGGCAATTATCATTTCAAAAGCTTTTAGAAGTTACTATTACTATTTCAAAATATAGAAGATTGGTGATTTTTATATTCGACAGATCTAGAATCTGAAGTAATACATGAAAATTAATGTAATTTGCTTTGATACAAGATCTCCAAACTTATATTCATTATTAGATTACCCATACTTTACGAAAAACACTCAGTCCCTTTTCATAGTCGGACAATGATTACCAAGGTCAATAACATTAACTGTTCTTACACACTGTGAATTGCATCAAACATTTTTGGGAACGGCAGAACAATTCTAACAAAATAAGCCTCAAGAGGCTCTTTACATTGAACATTTAGTTAAAGTTATATTTCCCGAAATTATAAGCAAACAAACTACAACTCTGTTGCCCTGTCTGATCATGACCACTGGTCATTTCTGTGGATGTTTGTTTCTTTGGTGTGTGTTTTTAACTACATAATGTTTGGCTGTAAGGCAGCTAGCACTTCGTTATGTGATAAATCCCCCACTTTCAGAGATTGAATATTAGCTGACCCTGTCCTGTCTGATCATGACCACTGGTCATTTTTGTAGATGTTGGATTCTTTGATATTTTTACATCTACATAGTTTACTAACATAGTGTTTGGCTGTCAGGCAGCTAATACTTCGTTATGTGATAAAACCCTCGCTTTCAGAGATTGAATATTAGCTTGAGACTATCTAATCATGTTTATTGGCCATTTCTGTAGATGCTTCGTCCTTTGGTGGTGTTTTTACATCTACATACATAGGGTTTGGCTGTAAGGCAGCTAGCACTTCGTTACGTGACAGATTTGCAAATGCCGGAGAGTTAACATGAGACTTTCCATGCCCTATATTATCATGACCCCTGGTCATTACAGTAGCTGTGGTGTTTGTGTTGGATGCAGTGGTGGTCTGGGGCTGACCCTGCCCTATCTGATCATGACCCCTGGTCATTACAGTAGCTGTGGTGTTTGTGTTGGATGCAGTGGTGGTCTGAGACTGACCCTGCCCTATCTGATCATGACCCCTGGCCATTACAGTTGCTGTTTTGTACAGAGTATTCAGTTGCGAGGATGTCGGCCCTGTGCCATAAGATAGATTCCCAGTGCCTAAGGATTCAACGTTGGCTTGATACTGGCCTTGCCCTGTCTGAGTATGACCACTGGTCATTACAGTATCTGTGGTATTGGATTTCATTATGGGCTGATACTGACCCTGCCCCGTCTGATCATCACCACTGGCCATTACAGTAGCTGTACTGTTTGTGCTGGATTCAGTGTTGGCCTGAGACTGACCCTGCCCTGGGTTGTCAATATCGTCATACTGGGGAACATCACCACTGGCCAATACAGAAACTGCTGTGTTGCCACCAACAACATTGGGGTTCGGCCCTAAAAGAGGATACCTGATCTTTGTCTTGTACCACAATGTTACAATGATGGCACCAATCAGTACAATTCCAGCTACTGAACCCCAGATTGAAGCCCAGATGAGAACAGGTAGCTGGGAACTTGAAACAAATTCGGGTTTGTTTGAATTGATTGCAAGGGGTGTGTTTAGTGTTGCTTTTGTTTCGCTAGTGTTTTCTGCAGTTGCTGTTGAGCCAGCATTTCGTGTAAAGAACCAGTGATAGCGAGAGCTGACGGTGGCATCGTGCGTTTTAGCAGTTTTCGATAGGTTAAAAAAGTGCTTTGTGGCAGATGTTAAGCCTACAGGATTTACAGATGGGCTAGTATTGCTTTCTGTGTTCCAAATTAAGGATGATGTTCGGATATCAACAGTTGGTGGTGATGCGGTTGGCTCTTTACAAATATCTTTAGGATCAATATCTGTAAGTTTTCTTCCTCGAAGTTTAGGGGGTTGGGAACATGTTATCTGGCTGAAAATATTTAAAAGAATTTTCGTGATATTCAATCTGAAAGGAGCCATCTTACAGTCACACTGAAAAGGGTTCCCGACAAGTCCAATGGTACCAATAGATGGCAACAAGCTAAAAGCTGAAGGGAGAATGACAGACAACTCGTTATACCGGAGGTCCAAACTGTGAAGCCGGGGAAGATTTTCAAATGTATGAGACGGAATGGTCGTTATATTGTTGTTGTCCAGGTACAACTGTGCCAGTCTGGGCAGATTTGCAAAGTTAACCAACTGTATCTTATTGTGGGACAGGTACAACTTTTCTAGTCGGGGTAGATTACGGAATGCATGACGCTGAATCGTTGTTATGTGGTTTTTATGCAGGAGCAACTTGTTTAGTCTGGGTAAGTTTTGAAATGTCCCTGCTTGAATCATTGTTATCTTGTTACCACACAGGTTTAAGTAGACTAGCATGGGAAGCTTTTGAAAAGAACCTTTCTGAATGGTTGTTATCTGGTTGCTTGCCAGGTTTAAGAGTTTGATGGATGTTGGGAGGTTCTCAGGGATGCTGGTTAGGCCCATTTCGGTGCACTTGCATTGTGATGATGGTGCACAGCTACAGCCAGCTTCTGGCATGTTGGGCTCCTTCAGGAGGATGAGAAGGAAAATCAGCACGTGTCTCAGTTTTCCTCCCATATGGTGCTCCGTCACCTAGAAAAATTAGAAAGCACATTTCTATGACGACACAAACATTTTATGTGGAATCTAGAATTAAAAGATGATTTAAAGACTGCACACCTATGCTACCCAACAAGCTCTTCACATTTTGGCCTCCGGTCAGCTTTTTTTAAAAGCTTTCTTGTTTCAGCAGATCCCCTGAAGTGATTGCAGTGTGCAAAGACGTTATGTACTCCTCATTACCTCCGGGGAAGGAGATATCCTTCCGCGAGGAGGTATTACTATGGTTCGAAACATTTCTGTCAGCAGTTGTTTCTCGCGATCGGCTGGACGGATTTGTCTGTGGTTCGGTATACGTATTGCTATTGGGCTGCAGATGATGCAGAACGTTTTTGTTTAATTGCATATGTGTTTATGGGCGTCGAAATAAAAGGTTTTTAAGTGCTCCGGACACCCCCGCCATGCTGAAAATGGTAATTACCATGTTGTTAAGGAATGGGGCGGTTGCAGTTTTGGGTCTTAGCATTCAAAAGGGGTCAAACAGAGGGGTGTCTGGTTCCGATAAAAATTTTGGGTGACGGCGCAGCAATGACGGCGCGGGATGACGGCGGGGGTAATGGCGCGGGTGACGGTGCAGGCTGTCAGACTGTGAGACACGTTAATCAACAGTCCATACCGAACCAACCGTCAGTAGCCATCAAACACATACAAACATATTACGCACATAACTTTCATACTACACACAAACAAATAACCTAAACCAATAGAACACAAAAAAACCCGGAGATTTGAAATCTACGATTTCCCTTGTTTGCACTATAAATGTTCCTGAAGTGTGTAACATCCAGACCTAAAATTCCGGGTGTGGGTCGAGGTACGGTTTTGGTAGTGGGGGGGGGGGGGTTTAGCTGTAGAGGTTTAGCCTTTGGCAGGGCTATGAAATACAACATCCGGCTGTCGTGGGCATAATAAAAACCCCATTGACATTTTTTTAAATATCTTCAGCACAAACCCACTACCATGTAGGCGTCCATCATAATTTTACCCAGTGCAGGCCATCAATGAGTTTAAACAGAGGGTTTTATCCAGAACCATGCCTCAGGTCCCGCATGTTCTGGACACACAATGGCCTTGTCCCGTTCCGTGCTTGGGACTAAGCACAGTTTTGGACACAAAAGGGCCTTGTCTCGTTCCGTGCTTGGGGTGAACCATGATTAACAGGCACAGTTCTGGACACACCAGACACCAGTTAAGGACAGCCCGGCAACCACACAGGGTCCCACGCGGCCACGCCCAAACAAAAGTGCAGAAAAGAGCACTCGGCGGGCTCCTTTTTGCTATCTTAATTCTTTGCCCAATTGAAGAAAAATACTACGAAAGTGCAAGAAAATCAACATATTAAAAAAATGTAAAAAATGTAATGGTTAAAATATGGAGAATATGTTAATTATCTGAGAATTGCTGCTTGAGTCTCCATGCTGTGTACCCCTTATTATACCCTGCTTACAGCACCCTCGGGCGAGGAAATGAGCAGAGGAGTAGGGAATTGAACAGTTTTCTTTAAAATGATTTTTAGTCATCGTTATTTTCTGTCATATCATTTAAAAAGGCAATTGTAGAACTGTTTTCGTAGACTCTCTTATCAGTCACGTGCACTCTCATCTCACCTCACCGGTCCCATAGCAGTCTGTCCTGCCGTCGGGGCAACTAAACTGTCCACAAGACTTATCCACCTACTCTTATGATTAATGTAAAAATGTACAAAATCTTGAAGACACCACTGATACTAGTACTGTCTTTAGAACTAACATAATCTCCAACCAGAAATTAAGATGAAAGATACTGTTAACGTTTTCTTACGGCCAGGCTTCTCTGACACTCACCTAAATCGTTGACAGACTGAAACGGCATCCTAACATCTGCTTGGGGAATAAAAATCTGATTGCATGCCTATCTGCGTATGCCTGGGATAAAATTTGAAAAGCTGTCTTTACTACAAATTGTACCTTTCATATTTGTCCACAGGTAGAAACGTACCTTTCTAGCGAGTCAGAATAGCTTCAGTTGGCACTTTCTTGGAAAGAACTCGGGCACAGCTCGCCGTAACAGTTGTTCTTGTAGGGTATGTCAGCCTTCTTCGGTAGCTGATCCGAAATGCCGTGTCACAAACAACCCAGGATTATATAGTATATAGTCTTACATAGGAGTTAATTGTCTATAGCTGGCTATTTGAATAATATAGATATTTATGACCATGATTAAAATTCTAATTATGATGCAGGTCTCCAGATGCATGTTTCCTTAAATTTGTACAAAAAAATATAAAAAAACAAGGAACAGATTTCTAAGATTTGATTGAAAAAGACAAGCATATCAAATTCTGGCATGAAAGTAAGATGCAATGTAGATTGCTAAATAAGTTTATATTATGTAAAAGCAAACGTGTTATTCGTTGTTGTTTTTTTCCTTGCATAAACAACAGAGCGTGAGCGGCATTATTAGAACGCGCGTGCGCACTGATCTAGGATTGAGATCGTTCTCCATAAGTGTTTGAAGTGTGCAAGGACGTTAAATGAAGTCCTTGTATGCACTATAAATGCTATAGATGTCATTGAAGAGTGCATCAACCAGACCTAAGTTCGGCGGGGGAGGGGGTAGCTGTAAGGGTAAAGCCTTTGGCTCGGCTCTGACGTCGGGACGACATACGGCTGTCGTGGTCATAATAAAATCCTCATTTTTGAAGACCGGCCCTGTTAGAACGCGTGGGCACTAACCTTAGACATTTTTCGACAAATTCGTTCTGAAAATAAGATAATAAAAAACAACAATGCTATTCATAAAATCTATCTCCTTTTCTTCTTTTCATAATGCTCATACAGTGCGTTTCTTTGTTTCTTAACACCTGCCAATACTTTTTGAATCACACCCTACTCCTCACTTTAGTATTCCTTTAACTGGATTATCTTACAGGTGACAAGGAAGTCTTGGATGCCATGAAGACTTCACGGGCGAGGCAAGGCATGTGGGCATATCACTTGTTTCGTCTAATGAATGAATGAATGAATGAATGAATGAATGAATGAATGAATGAATGAATGAATGAATGAATGAATGAATGAATGAATGAATGAATGAATACCTTTGAAACTTCGCTTTCATATATATTTCATATATATCTTAATGTCGGTCAGGACGTTGTTTTCTCGAATAAAAGACACCAATAAAATGTCACACGATGAGTTAACCCCAGAACCCAGGCAAAGTGCAACTCCTGAACACTCTGAATTGAACATTTGCACACTTCTAATATAAGGCCCCGTTAGCTATAGTCTGCGACAAATGAAAAGGACCATTCTATTTACTCTGAGTCTCCCACTCCTTGGAGACCTTTACTGTCGGCTCCAGAACAAGTGACATGCGCCACCAAGCGGTTAGCACAAGACACGCAAACTGTAACTACGGACTGTTTAAAGGGGCAATATGTAATATTATGCACCCAAATGTGATTATATTTTGCTTCCAATTTTCAACAGATATTCGTGCAAATATCTCACATTCCTGACTTTTATGGTTGGCGCTAAAACAGCCCACACCAGGCGCACTACTAGAATGTAAACAAACATGGACTACAACAGTGTTTCCAGCTTTTACACACACTAGTTAAGGAATCATACATTGTCGCCTCTTGAATGACACTTATTTGCACGAAGAAGTAAAGTAGATTAATTTTACTTTGTAAAGAAATGACCCAAAATTTATTTCTTTTGTATCGTCCTTAATGTTACATAAGGCAGCTTTAAATCAATTCCTGGCGTCATAGTAGGTTCCATGGAGGCGATATTATTGGGTCATATTTATATTATGAACATCTATATACAGTGATTATTCAAATGCTTAACGGCCTCGACCTCCACCAGCCTCACCTTTTCCGTTCCACCTGTCCCAGTCACTGCGCGTGTGCGATGTCAGCATCACTGCGAGCGATGTCAGCATCACATAACCCCCATGTATTATGTTTTCCATGTGTGCCCAGGGCACCACTGCAAACCAGTGTGAGCTGGTCTACTCTGCCTTAAGTAATGATTCTAAGGATGGCTGGAGGGATGGATCTAGGGATGCAGATATTTAAGCATGGTTAAAGGGATTTGACGATTGATGGAGAGGTGGTTTGGATGGATGGCCAGGCAACATATATGCAGCTAATATCCATGGCAGCAAGCATCAATAATGACTCAGTATGAGTATTTATTTTCATATATGCATTATTAGTGGGTAGGAAACAGTATTTTTCCAAGAACGAAATGATTACTCATATTGTGATAGTGCTTTTTCAGCTATCATAAGAGGAGCCAGCAGCTTGCATGAAGGCTGTATTATTATGGGGGTCGTGTGGTGCAACGGCAGCGTGCTCGATTCGGAACCAAGAGGTCTCGGGTTCGAGTCCTGAGATGCCACCGATCTTTTGACCTTGGGAAAGGCACTTTACACCGCTTTCTCCACTGAACTCAAGTGAAAATTAGTATTGTCTGTCCAGTATTCGTTTCTGTGTTTGGGACACAACACCAGCAACAGCTGCCTGTGCCCTATGTGTTGCAATAAATCAAATCAAATCAAATTATTACTAGATATGCTGATGAATAGTGTCTATTTGGACAGTGTGGTAGTCACAATGATGTTATCTTGACCTTAGTGGGAAAGAGTGTAAAAACGTACGTCCAGGTGGATTATTATAATATTCAAGAACACATTCAGTTTGTGACATGACCACACAAAAAACAGCAGAATGTGGGGCCAGTGCATTTATTGTTAACGTAATACTATGTATACGTATACTTATTTGATAGAGTACTTGTTTGTACATAACACATTCATATATGGATTTTCCTTATGTCACTCCTTTTTGTGCTAACATATGTATGACAATTATTACATTATAGCACAGCATACAGTTAAGGCTTCTATTAGTATTGCATGATTTTTGCATTTTTTTGCATTGATAGTACAGGCAAAACCATTATGTAAAGGCAATTATCATTTCAAAAGCTTTTAGAAGTTACTATTACTATTTCAAAATATAGAAGATTGGTGATTTTTATATTCGACAGATCTAGAATCTGAAGTAGTGCATGAAAATTAATGTAATTTGCTTTGATACAAGATCTCCAAACTTATATTCATCATTAGATTACCCATACTTTACGAAAAACACTCATTCCCTTTTCATAGTCGGACAATGATTACCAAGGTCAATAACATTAACTGTTCTTACACACTGTGGATTGCATCAAACATTTTTGGGAACGGCAGAACAATTCTAACAAAATAAGCCTCAAGAGGCTCTTTACATTGAACATTTAGTTTAAGTTCTATTTCACGAAATTATAAGCAAACAAACTACAACTCTGTTGCCCTGTCTGATCATGACCACTGGTCATTTCTGTAGATGTTTGTTTCTTTGGTGTGTTTTTTTAAATCTACATAATGTTTGGCTGTAAGGCAGCTAGCACTTCGTTATGCGATAAATTCCTCACTTTCAGAGATGAAATATTAGCTTGAGACTGTCTAATCATGTCTATTGGCCATTTCTGTAGATGCTTCGTCCTTTGGTGGTGTTTTTACATCTACGTATTCATACATAGGGTTTGGCTGTAAGGCAGCTAGCACTTCGTGACGTGACAGATTTGCAACTTTCGGAGATTCATCGGAGTTAGCATGAGACTGACCCTGCTCTATAGTATCATGACCAGTGGTCATTACAGTAGCTGTAGTGTTTGTGTTGGATGCAGTGGTGGTCTGAGACTGACCCTGCCCTATCTGCTCATGACCACTGGCCATTACAGTTGCTGTTTTGTACAGAGTATTCATTTGCGAGGCAGTCGGCCCTGTACCATAAGATAGATTCCCAGTGCCTAAGGATTCAACGTTGGCTTGATACTGGCCTTGCCCTGTCTGAGTATGACCACTGGTCATTACAGTATCTGTGGTATTGGATTTCATTATGGGCTGATACTGACCCTGCCCCGTCTGATCATCACCACTGGCCATTACAGTAGCTGTGGTGTTTGTGGTGGATGCAGTGTTGGCCTGAGACTGACCCTGCCCTGTCTGATTATCACCACTGGCCATTACAGTAGCTGTGCTGTTTGGTGTGGATAAAGTGTTGGCCTGAGACTGACCGTGCCCTATCTGATCATGATTGCTGTCGATATCCTCATACCGATGATCATCACCACTCGTCATTACAGTAGCTGTGGTGTTTGTGGTTGATGTAGTGTTGGCCTGAGACTGACCCTGCCCTGGGTTGTCAATATCGTCATACTGGGGAACATCATCACTGGACAATACAGAAACTGCTGTGTTGCCACCAACAACATTGGGATTCAGCCCTAAAGGAGCATACCTGATCCTTGTCTTGTACCACAATGTTACAATGATGGCACCAATCAGTACAATTCCAGCTACTGAACCCCAGATTGAACCCCAGATGAGAACAGGTAGCTGGGAACTTGAAACAAATTCTGGTTTGTTTGAATTGATTGCAAGGGGTGTATTTAGTGTTGCTTTTGTTTCGCTAGTGTTTTCTGTCGTTGCTGTTGAGCCAGCATTTCGTGTAAAGAACCAGTGATGGTGAGAGCTGACGGTGGCATCGTGCATTTTAGCAGTTTCTGATAGGTTAAAAAAGTGCTGTGTGGCAGATGTTAAGCCTACAGAATTTGCTGATGGGCTCGTATTGCTTTCCGTGTTGCAAACTGCGAATGATTTTCGGATATCAACAGTTGGTGGTGATGCAGTTAGCTCTTTACAAATATCTTCAGGATCAATATCTGTAAGTTTTCTTCCCCGAAGTTTGGGGGGTCGGTTACATGTTATCTGGCTGAACGTACTTAAAAGAATTTTCGTGATATTCATTCTGAAAGGAGCCATCTTACAGTCACACTGAAAAGGGTTCTCGGCAAGTCTAATGGTACGAATAGATGGCAACAAGCTAAAAGCTGAAGGGAGAATGACAGACAACTCGTTATACCGGAGGTCCAAAACTTGCAGCCGGGGCAGATTTTCAAATGTATGAGACGTAATTGCCGTTATATTGTTGTTGTCCAGGTACAACTGTGCCAGTCTGGGCAGATTTGCAAAGTTAACCAACTGTATCTTATTGTGGGACAGGAACAACATTTCTAGTCGGGGTAGATTACGGAATGCATGACGCTGAATCGTTGTTATCTGGTTTTTATACAGGAGCAACTTGTTTAGTCTTGGTAGATTTTGAAATGTCCCTGCTTGAATCATTGTTATCTTGTTACCACACAGGTTTAAGTAGACTAGCATGGGAAGCTTTTGAAAAGAACCTTTCTGAATGGTTGTTATCTGGTTGCTTGCCAGGTTTAAGAGTTTGATGGATGTTGGGAGGTTCTTAGGGATGCTGGTGAGGCCCATTTCGGTGCACTTGCATTGTGATGATGGTGCACAGCTGCAGCCAGCTTCTGGCATGTTGGGCTCCTTCAGGATGATGAGAAGGAAAATCAGAATGTGTCTCAGTTTTCCTCCCATATGGTGCTCCGTCACCTAGAAAAATTAGAAAGCACATTTCTATGACGACACAAACATTTTATGTGGAATCTAGAATTAAAAGATGATTTAAAGACTGCACACCTATGCTACCCAACAAGCTCTTCACATTTTGGCCTCCGGTCAGCTTTTTTTAAAAGCTTTCCTGTTTCAGCAGATCCCCTGAAGTGTTTGCAGTGTGCAAGGACGTTATGTACTCCTCATTTGCACTATAAATGTTCCTGAAGTGTGTAACATCCAGACCTAAAATTCCGGGTGTGGGTCGAGGTACGGTTTTGGGAGTGGGGGGTGGGGGGGTAGCTGTAGGGGTTTAGCCTTTGGCAGGGCTATGAAATACAACATCCGGCTGTCGTGGGCATGATAAAAACCCCATTTACATTATTTTAAATATCTTCAGCACAAACCCACTACCATGTAGGCGTCCATCATAATTTTGCCCAGTGCAGGCCATCAATGAGTTTAAACAGAGGGTTTTATCCAGAACCGTGCCTCAGGTCCCGCATGTTCTTAACACACAATGGCCTTGTCTTGCTTAGGGTGAACCATGATTAACAGCAGTTCCAGGCACAGTTCTGGACACACCAGACACCAGTAAAGGACAGCCCGGCAACCACACAGGGTCCCACGTGGCCACGCCCAAACAAAAGTGCAGAAAAACAGCACTCGGCGGGCTCCTTTTTGCTACTGTAATTCTTATACTACAATTTATCTCTGCCCTTTTATGTATTTTTTTTGTACGAAAGTGCAAGAAAATCAACTTATTAAAAAAACAAGTAATCATTATGGTTAGAATATGGAGAAAATGTTAATTGTCTGAGACTTGCTGCTTAAATATCCATGTTGTGTACTCATTTTTATGACCCTGTTTGCAGCACCCTCGGGTGAGAAAATGGGAAGAGTAGAGAAGCGAACACTTCTCTTTAAAATGATCTTTAGTCATCACCTGTTATTTTCAGTCATTTCATTAAAACAGACATTATAGGACTGTTTTTCTTAGACCCTCTTATGAGTCACGTCCGCTCTTATGAATAATGTAAAAATGTACAAAATCTCAATGACACCACTGATACTAGTACTGTCTTCAGAACTAACATAATTCCCAACCAGAAATTAAGATGAAAGATACTGTTAACGTTTTCTGACAGACAGGCTTCTCTGACACTCATCTACCATCATCGTTGACAGACCGAAACGGCACCATAACGTCTGCTTGGGGAATAAATCTGATTGCATGCCTATCTGCGTATGCCTGGGATAAAATTTGAAAACCTGTCTTTACTACAAATTGTACCTTTCATATTTGTCCACATGTAGAAACGTACCTTTCTAGTGAGTCAGAATAGCTTCAGTTGGCACTTTCTTGGAAAGAACTCGGGTGTAGCTCGCTGTAACAGTTGTTCTTGTAGGGTATGTCAGCCTTCTTCGGTATCTGGTCCGAAATGCCGTGTGGCAAACAACCCAGGATTATATACTATATAGCCTTACATAGGAGTTAATTGTCTATAGCTGGCTATTTGAATAACATTGATATTTATGACCATGATTAAAATTCTAATGATGATGCAGGTCTCGAGATGCATGTTTACTTTAATTCGTACTAAGAAAATAAAAACCAGCAACCTATTTCTAAGATTTGATTGAAAAAGACAATTATCAAATTCTGGAATAAAAGTAAGATGCAATGTAGATGTTTTAAAAAGTATATATTATGTAAAAGCAAACGTATTATGCGTTGTTTTTTTTCCTTTGCATAAACAACAGGGCGTGGGAGGGTGCCTTATGAGCGGCCTTGTTAGAACGCGCGTGCGCACTGATCTAGGATAGAGATCGTTCTCCTTAAGTTTTTAATGTGTGCAAGGACGTTAAAATGTAGTCCTTATATGCACTATAAATGCTATAAATGTCCTTGAAGTGTGCATTAATCAGACCTAATTTCCGGGGGGGGGGAGGGGAGGAGGAGTATCTGTAAGGTTTGACGTCGGGACGACATCCGGCTGTCGTGGTCATAATAAAATCCTCATTTTTTAAGAGCGGCCCTGTTAAAATGAAATGATAAAAAACAACATGGTGTTTCATAATACTCATACATGCGTTTCTTCGTTTCTTTACACCTGTCAATGTTTTTTTTTTTAATTACACCCTACTCCACACTTAAGTATTCCTTTAACTGGATTATCTTACAGGTGACAAGGAAGTCTTGGATGCCATGAAGACTTCACGGGCGAGGCAAGGCATGTGGGCATATCACTTGTTTCGTCTAATGAATGAATGAATGAATGAATGAATGAATGAATGAATGAATGAATACCTTTGAAACTTCGCTTTGATATATATTTCATATATATCTTAATGTCGGTCAGGACGTTGTTTTCTCGAATAAAAGACACCAATAAAATGTCACACGATGAGTTAACCCCAGAACCCAGGCAAAGTGCAACTCCTGAACACTCTGAATTGAACATTTGCACACTTCTAATATAAGGTCCCGTTAGCTATAGTCTGCGACAAATTAAAAGGTCCATTCTATTTACTCTGCGTCTCCCACTCCTTGGAGACCTTTACTGTCGGCTCCAGAACAAGTGACATGCGCCACCAAGCGGTTAGCACAAGACACGCAAACTGTAACTACGGACTGTTTAAAGGGGCAATATGTAACATTTTGCACCCAAATGTGATTATATTTTGCTTCCAGTTTTCAACAGATATTCGTGCAAGTATCTCACATTCCTGACTTTTATGGTTGGCGCTAAAACAGCCCACACCAGGCGCACTACTAGAATGTAAACAAACCTGGACTACAACAGTGTTTCCAGCTTTTACACACACTAGTTAAGGAATCATACATTGTCGCCTCTTGAGTGACACTTATTTGCACGAAGAAGTAAAGTAGATTAATTTTACTTTGTAAAGAAATGACCCAAAATTTATTATTTTTGTATCGTCCTTAATGTTACATAAGGCAGCTTTAAATCAATTCCTGGCGTCATAGTAGGTTCCATGGAGGCGATATTATTGGGTCAAGTGTCCGTTACATAAGATCATTTCAATCTAAAGTGATTATTTAGATGCTTAACGGCCTCGACCTCCACCAGCCTCACCTTTTCCGTTCCACCTGTCCCAGTCACTGCGCGTGTGCGATGTCAGCATCACTGCGAGCGATGTCAGCATCACATAACCCCCATGTATTATGTTATCCATGTGTGCCCAGGGCACCACTGCAAACCAGCGTGAGCTGGTCTACTCTGCCTTAAGTAATGATTCTAAGGATGGCTGGAGGGATGGATCTAGAGATGCAGATATTTAAGCATGGTTAAAGGGATTTGACGATTGATGGAGAGGTGGTTTGGATGGATGGCCAGGCAACTCAGCTGATATCCGTGGCAGCAAGCATCAATAATGACAATAATGAGTATTTAATTTCATATATGCATTATTAATGGGTAGGAAACAGTATTTTTCTAAGAACGAAATTATTATTCATATTGTGCTTTTCAGCTAATATAAGAGGAGCCAGCAGCTTGCATGAAGGCTGTATTATTATGGGGGTTGTGTGGTGCAACGGCAGCATGCTCGATTCGGAACCAAGAGGTCCCGGGTTCGAGTCCTGACATGCCACCGATCTTGTGACCTTGGGAAACGCACTTTACACGACTTTCTCCACTGAACTCAATTGAAAAAGAGTACTGTCTGTTCTGTATTCGTTTCTATGTTTTGGAACACAACACCAGCAACAGCTGCCTGTGCCCCATTTGTTCCAATTTCAATAAATCAAATCAAATTATTACTAGATATGCTGATAAATAGTGTCTATTTGGACAGTGTGATAGTCACAATGATGTTATATTAGTGGGAAAGAGTGTAAAAATGTACGTCCAGCTGGATTATTATAACATTCAAGGACACATTCAGTTTGTGACATGACCACACAAAAAACAGCAGAATGTGGGGCCAGTGCATTTATTGTTAACGTAATACTATGTATGCGTATAGTTATTTGATAGAGTGCTTATTTGTACATAACACATTCATATATGAATTTCTTCATGTCACTCCTTTTTGCGGTAACATTCTGTGACAATTATTACATTATAGCACAACAGTTAAGGATGCTATTAGTATTGCATGATAGCTTTTTTTGCATTGATAGTACAGGTAAAACCATTATGTAAAGGCTACTTTCGTTTTAAAAGCTTTAGCAGTTACGATTACTATGTCAAAATATAGAAGATTGGTTATTTTTATATTCGACAGAATCTGAAGTAGTGCTTGAAAATTAAATTAAATATACGTATTTTGCTTTTATACAGGAACTCCAAACTTATAATTATAATTAGATTGCCCACACTTTACGAAGCACACTCATTCCCTTTTCATAGTCGGACAATGATTAGCAAGGATCAATAACATTGAGAGGCTCTTTACACTGAACATTTAGTTTCAGTTATATTTCCCGAAATTATAAGCAAACAAACTACAACTCAGTTGCCCTGTCTGATCATGACCACTGGTCATTTCTGTAGATGTTTGTTTCTTTGGTGTTTTTTAATCCCCATAGTGTTTGGCTGTCAGGCAGCTAGCACTTATGCGATAAATTCCTCACTTTCAGAGATGAAATATTAGCTTGAGACTGATTCTGCCCTGTCTAATCATGTCTATTGGCCATTTCTGTAGATGCTTCGTCCTTTGGTGGTGTTTTTACATCTACATACATAGGGTTTGGCTGTAAGGCAGCTAGCACTTCGTTACGTGACAGATTTGCAAATGTCGGAGACTCATCGGAGTTAACATGAGACTGTCCATGCCCTATATTATTATGACCCCTGGTCATTACAGTAGCTGTGGTGTTTGTGTTGGATGCAGTGGTGGTCTGAGACTGACCCTGCCCTGTCTGATCATGACCCCTGGCCATTACAGTTGCTGTTTTGTACAGAGTATTCAGTTGCGAGGCAGTCGGCCCTGTACCATAAGATAGATTCCCAGAGCCTGGGGATTCAATGTTGGCTTGATACTGGCTCTGCTCTGTCTGATTATCACCACTGGTCATTACAGTATCTGTGGCATTGGATTTCATTAGGGGCTGATACTGACCCTGCCCTGTCTGGCCATCACCACTGGCCATTACAGTAGCTGTGCAGTTTGTGCTGAATTCAGTGTTGGCCTGAGACTGACCCTGCCCTGTCTGATTATCACCACTGGCCATTACAGTAGCTGTGGTGTTTGGTGTGGATGCAGTGTTGGCCTGAGACTGACTCTGCCCTGTCAGATCATCACCACTAGTACTGGCCATTACAGTAGCTGTGCTGTTTGTGTTGTATACAGAGTTGGCCCGAGACTGACCCTGCCCTGTCTGATCATCACCACTGGCCATTACAGTAGCTGTGTTGTTTGTGTTGGATTCAGTGATGGCCTGAGACTGACCCTGCCCTGGGTTATCAATATCGTCATACTGGTGATCATCATCACTGGCCAATACAGAAACTGCTGTGTTGCCACCAACAACATTGTGGTTCGGCCCTAAAGGAGGATACCTGATCTTTGTCTTGTACCACAATGTTACAATGATGGCACCAATCAGTACAATTCCAGCTACTGAACCCCAGATTGAACCCCAGATGAGAACAGGTAGCAGGGAACTTGAAACAAATTCGGGTTTGTTTGAATTGATTGCAAGGGGTGTATTTAGTGTTGCTTTTGTTTCGCTCGTGTTTTCTGTAGTTGCTGTTGAGCCAGCATTTCGTGTAAAGAACCAGTGATAGCGAGAGGTGACGGTGGCATCGTGCGTTTTAGCAGTTTCCGATAGGTTAAAAAGGTGCTGTGTGGCAGACGTTAAGCCTACAGGGTTTACAGATGGGCTTGTATTGCTTTCTGTGTTGAAAACTACGGATGATGTTCGGATATCAACAGTTGGTGGTGATGCGGTTGGCTCTTTACAAATATCTTCAGGATCAATATCTACAAGTTTTCTTCCTCGAAGTTTGGGGGGTTGGTTACATGTTATCTGGCTGAAAATATTTAAAAGAATTTTCGTGATATTCAATCTGAAAGGAGCCATCTTACAGTCACACTGAAAAGGGTTCCAGACAAGTCCAATGGTACCAATAGATGGCAACAAGCTAAAAGCTGAAGGGAGAATGACAGACAACTCGTTATACCGGAGGTCCAAAACTTGGAGCCGGGGAAGATTTTCAAATGTATGAGACGTAATTGCCGTTATATTGTTGTTGTCCAGGTACAACTGTGCCAGTCGGGGCAGATTTGCAAAGTTAACCAACTGTATCTTATTGTGGGACAGGAACAACTTTTCTAGTCGGGGTAAATTACGGAATGCATGACGCTGAATCGTTGTTATCTGGTTTTTATGCAGGAGCAACTTGTTTAGTCTGGGTAGATTTTGAAATGTCCCTGCTTGAATCATTGTTATCTTGTTACCACACAGGTTTAAGTAGACTAGCATGGGAAGCTTTTGAAAAGAACCTTTCTGAATGGTTGTTATCTGGTTGCTTGCCAGGTTTAAGAGTTTGATGGATGTTGGGAGGTTCTCAGGGATGCTGGTTAGGCCCATTTCGTTGCACTTGCATTGTGATGATGGTGCACAGCTGCAGTCAGCTTCTGGCATGTTGGGCTCCTTCAGGATGATGAGAAGGAAAATCAGCATGTGTCTCAGTTTTCCTCCCATATGGTGCTCCGTCACCTAGAAAAATTAGAAAGCACATTTCTATGACGACACAAACATTTTATGTGGAATCTAGAATTAAAAGATGATATAAAGACTGCACACCCATGCTACCCAACAAGCTCTTCCCATTTTGGCCTCCGGTCAGCTTTTTTCAAAAGCTTCCTTGTTTCAGCAGATCCCCTGAAGTGTTTGCAGTGTGCAAGGACGTTATGTACTCCTCATTTGCACTATAAATGTTCCTGAAGTGTGTAACAACCATACCTGAATTCCGGGTGTGGGTTTTGGGAGTGGGGGGGGGTAGCTGTAGGGGTAGCTGCAGGGCTATGAAATACAACATCCGGCTGTCGTGGGCATAATAAAAATCCCATTTACATTTTTAAAAACATCTTCAGCGCAAACCCACTACCATGTAGGCGTCCATCATAATTTTTCCCAGTGCAGGCCATCTGTAAGGTTAAACAGAGGGTTTATCTAGAACCGTGCCTCAGGTCCCGCACGTTCTGGACACACAATGGCCTTGTCTCGTTCCGTGCTTGGAACTAAGAACAGTTTTGGACACAATTTCAAAAGGGCCTTGTCTCGTTCCGTGCTTGGGGTGAACCATGATTAACAGGCACAGTTCTGGACACACCAGACACCAGTTAAGGACAGCCCGGCAACCACACAGGGTCCCACGCGGCCACGCCCAAACAGAAGTGCAGAAAAGAGCACTCGGCGGGCTCCTTTTTGCTATCTTAATTCTTTGCCCAATTGAAGAAAAATACTACGAAAGTGCAAGAAAATCAACATATTAAAAAAATGTAAAAAATGTAATGGTTAGAATATGGAGAATATGTTAATTATCTGAGAATTGCTGCTTGAGTCTCCATGTTGTGTACCCCTTATTATACCCTGCTTACAGCACCCTCGGGCGAGGAAATGAGCAGAGGAGTAGGGAATTGAAATTTTTTCTTTAAAATTAGTCATCGTTATTTTCTGTCATATCATTTAAAAAGGCAATTGTAGAACTGTTTTCGTAGACTCTCTTATTAGTCACGTGCGCTCTTATGAATAATGTAAAAATGTACAAAATCTTAAAGACACCACTGATACTAGTACTGTCTTTAGAACTAACATAATCCCCAACCAGAAATTAAGATGAAAGATTAATTTAACGTTTTCTGACGGCCAGGCTTCTCTGACACTCATCTACCATGGGGAATAAATCTGACTGCATGCCTATCTGCGTATGCCTGGGACAAGGCTTGAAAAGCTGTCTTCACTACAAATATAATTGTACCATTTATGTTTGTCCGCCTGTAGCCTTAAAAAGGCAATTGTAGAACTGTTTTCGTAGTCTCTCTTATCAGTCACGTGCACTCTTATCTCACCTCACCTCACCTCACCGGTCCCATAGCAGTCTGTCCTGCCGTCGGGGCAACTTAACTGTCCACAAGACTTATCCACCCACAATTATGAATAATGTAAAAATGTACAAAATCTTAAAGACACCACTGATACTAGTACTGTCTTTAGAACTAACATAATCTTTAACCAGAAATTAAGATGAAAGATACTGTTAACGTTTTCTGACGGCCAGGCTTCTCTGACACTCATCTACCATCATCGTTGACAGACCGAAACGGCATCCTAACATCTGCTTGGGGAATAAATCTGATTGCATGCCTATCTGCGTATGCCTGGGATAAAATTTGAAAACCTGTCTTTACTACAAATTGTACCTTTCATATTTGTCCACAGGTAGAAACGTACCTTTCTAGTGAGTCAGAATAGCTTCAGTTGGCACTTTCTTGGAAAGAACTCGGGTGTAGCTCGCTGTAACAGTTGTTCTTGTAGGGTATGTCAGCCTTCTTCGGTATCTGGTCCGAAATGCCGTGTGGCAAACAACCCAGGATTATATACTATATAGCCTTACATAGGAGTTAATTGTCTATAGCTGGCTATTTGAATAACATTGATATTTATGACCATGGTTAAAATTCTAATGACGATGCAGGTCTCGAGATGCATGTTTACTTTAATTCGTACTAAGAAAATAAAAACCAGCAACAGATTTCTAAGATTTGATTGAAAAAGACAAGCATATCAAATTCTGGTTTAAAAGTAAGATGCAATTTAGATGTTTAAAAAAAGTATATATTATGTAAAAGCAAACGTGTTATGCGTTGTTTTTTTTCCTTTGCATAAAGAACAGGGCGTGGGAGGGTGCCTTATGAGCGGCCTTGTTAGAACGCGCGTGCGCACTGATCTAGGATAGAGATCGTTCTCCTTAAGTTTTTAATGTGTGCAAGGACGTTAAATGTAGTCCTTATATGCACTATAAATGCTATAAATGTCCTTGAAGTGTCCATTAATCAGACCTAAGTTCCGGGGGGGGGGAGGAGGAGTATCTGTAAGGTTTGACGTCGGGACGACATCCGGCTGTCGTGGTCATAATAAAATCCTCATTTTTGAAGAGCGGCCCTGTTAAAATGAAATGATAAAAAACAACATGGTGTTTCATAATGCTCATACATGCGTTTCTTCGTTTCTTTACACCTGCCAATACTTTTTTTTTTAAATTACACCCTACTCCCCACTTAAGTATTCCTTTAACTGGATTATCTTACAGGTGACAAGGAAGTCTTGGATGCCATGAAGACTTCACGGGCGAGGCAAGGCATGTGGGCATATCACTTGTTTCTTCTAGTGAATGAATGAATAACTTTAAAACTTCGCTGCAGTATTTCATATATATCTCAATGTCGGTCAGGACGTTGTTTTCTCGAATAAAAGACACCAATAAAATGTCACACGACGAGTTAACCCCAGAACCCAGGCAAAGTGCAACTCCTGAACACTCTGAATTAAACATTTGCACACTTCTAATATAAGGCCCCGTTAATAGTCTGCGACAAATGAAAAGGACCATTCTATTTACTATGCGTCTCCCACGCCTTGGAGACCTTTACTGTCGGCTCCAGAACAGGTAACAGGCGCCACCAAGCACCAGGCACAAGACATACAGACTGTAATTACGGCCTGTTTTAATGGACTTTATGTAACATTTTGCACCCAAATGTGATTATATTTTGCTTCCAGTTTTTAACAGATATTTGTGCAATTATCTCAAATTTCTGACTTTTACGGTTGGCGCTAAAACAGCCCACACCAGGTGCACTCAGTTTGTGGCGCCACCACAAACTACCAGAATGTAAACAAACATGTCTGACAGCTGTGTTTCCAGCTTTTACACACACTAGTTAAGGAATCATACGGTGTCGCCTCTTGAATGACACTTATTTGCACGAAGAAGTAAAGTAGATTAATGTTACTTTGTAAAGAAATGACCTAAAATTTATTTCTTTTGTATCGTCCTTAATGTTACATAAGGCAGCTTTAAATCAATTCCTGGCGTCATAGTAGGTTCCATGGAGGCGATATTATTGGGTCAAGTGTCCGTTACATATGATCATTTCAATCTAAAGTGATTATTTAGATGCTTAACGGCCTCGACCTCCACCAGCCTCACCTTTTCCGCTCCACCTGTCCCAGTCACTGCGCGTGTGCGATGTCAGCATCACTGCGAGCGATGTCAGCATCACATAAGCCCCATGTATTATGTTATCCATGTGTGCCCAGGGCACCACTGCAAACCAGCGTGAGCTGGTCTACTCTAGCTTAAGAAGATGCATAATAGATTTCATTTCATTTATTTTATTTACCCAGTTATAATATGCCGTTGCACGGGCTGGCATACATTGACAAAAATACTTAAATAACAAACAAGAATATAATACAAAGTTACGAAATAACTTAATTATAACAATAATAGCATATTGGTAAAAGTGCTTTAAAATCATACGACAAGCTAATGATTTACATGAAACAAGCAAAATAGATATAACAAATTAAGTACATAAAAAAAAGATAATGGAAATTTGCATATCAATGTTACAAGACAAAAGTGGGGATAGACTGGCTACATAATGATGATAGAGTAGATATATAAATAAATAGATAGCCATATTTATTCATGTATCTGTTTCTGTTTAGACACTTGTTGCAATAAATTGACTGTTTGGACATTTGTCGTATAAGTATACTTGTAGGGTAGCTCCGTGATCCAATACAGTGACTGTGCATAAGAGTGTCACAATTTAGTAACTGAGAATGCATATTGAATTTATGTCACAGGGAATTCTTTTACATATGCGTGACCATATAACGCTACCAGTGCGTAGATTGAATGCACGAAACACGGCGGTATGTATATTCTACACGACGTCAACGCAAGACGAAATGACATAGATGTCAAGGTAATAATCTTTAGCCTATTTTTTTCATATAGTACATATATTCTGCTGTATGTTATGTATGTAGTTTGATGATGTCAAGCTATTAATAATTAATCCCAATTTTACTAAACTTACAGACAAGGAAAAAATATTCTTCTTTTAACTTCCCAAAACCACTAATTTTGGAAAAGGTGGGACATTACGTCTTCCATTGTCTAAAAAAGAGAAGTCAAACCCCATAGACAAAGTTTTAGACATAGCTATAGCTTTAGACAACTACCTTTTATCATGTAGATTTTATTTATTTTATACTCTGTTTCACTGTTCTTTCATGTTTGTAATTTGCAATTAGCCTCCGGGCACGAATTTGCAATAAACTTCTCATTCATTTTTTACCTATGTTGTGTTTTATGTGTTTTGATGAAACCCATATGTGCACTAACAGAAGTGTTACATAAACAACAGAGGTCTATTTTATTTAGCACGAAGTGCCTCTTTGGCACTTTCTCACGAAAAAGGAATTATAGAAGATCACGACGCACTCCTCCAGGGACGGTCCATTGTGAACGAAGGGGTGTCTGCCTAGTTGGATGGGCATCAATACATACTAGGACTTTCATACTCCATGCTGTACCCCCCTCCCCCATTGAAAGGAGGAGCAGGTGCTGATTGGTCGCCAACATGTGTCGCCATAGCAACATA